ATATGAAACAACTGCTTTTGAAAATCACAGCTGCAACCAAGTTGTTTTTTATACTTGTACTTTGGTGTTATTTCATTTTAAGGAAACTTCACTTTTATCAGTGCTTCCCTGCCAACTCTCTCACTTCAGGAACAAATTACATGTCTGCAGATACAAAACTTTATGATTATATAATACTTGTATTTACCAAGTAGGAGATTGATATGGAAAAAAATTTATAAGAGAGTAAAATAATTTATGAAATGAGGTTTTATTTTTCTATAATTTTAATTGAATTCCCTAAATCTAAAAAATCTTGTGTTTACAGAACAACACTGGGGAAAGAAAACTGAGAGTAACCCTTTTGAGTCCTGTATGGAAAGCTTCAAGCAATGGAGACTTGACAACCATCAACAGAGAGTTAGCCATACAGATGGCTAAACATCCCAATGTGGAAGTCAGTGTCTTCTTACCTCAGTGTAGTGAAGAGGACAAGAGAGATGCTGATAGTTACAATGTTAAACTCATTGAAGCTGTTAAACTGTCTGGTTTTGAACCAGTTGATTGGCTAGCCTCTCCACCTGATGGCCATGCTATGGATTGTGTTCTAGGACATGGAGTAGCTCTTGGTCGGCTAATTCAACTTATAAAGAAAAATCAAAATTACAGGCATTGCAAATGGATTCAAGTTGTCCATACTGCCCATGAAGAAATTGGCATGTACAAAAGCATTTCTGAAGGTCAACAAATGCAGCAAACAGAAATAGAACTATGTAAAATGGCTGATCAAGTTGTAACAATTGGCCCCAAGCTAACTGATGCATATAAATACCAACTCAGAACACAAGATATTTTTAACCTGACACCAAGTATTTTCACTGAATTTTCAGATGTGCAGCAAGCTAGCAATGAAAGAAGAACGTTTTGTGTCTTGGTAACTGAGAATGGTGATTGTGAAGATTTTTCTGTTAAAGGACATGACATCGTAGTGAAAGCTATTGCTAGCCTGAAGGATAAATCTTACCAACTCAAGTTTGCTTCCAAACAGAGAGGAAAAGAAGATGAATTAGCAGACAGGTTACTTCAGTGTGGTATTGATCGTAATCAGCTAATTATCTGCAGCTTTGATGAAAACAGGGAAACATTAGCTAACTTATTCTCTGCGGTGGATATTGCTATATTGCCCTCAAAAACTGAGGGATTTGGGTTAAGCGCTCTTGAGGCCATATCGGCTGGTCTTCCAGTACTTGTCAGTGGTAACTCAGGAATTGCAGAAGCCTTAAGGGAGGTGCCTAATGGGTCACAGTGTGTAGTGGATTCAGAGGATCCTGCAGACTGGGCCAGAGCAATAAAGGCTGTGCGTAACAAAAAAAGGAATGTACGACTTGCAGAGGCTAAGATTCTTCGTGAAAACTATTTGCAGCAGTTCAGCTGGAAGGAGCCTTGTGCTTTCCTCATTGAAAAGATGTACAATCTTGCATTTGGTAAGTTTTCTCACCTTGCATCAGGAATGCAGAAGTTTTAATTAAATTTGAAGTTATGATAAAGCTCACATGTTCTGTGTTAAATATTCAATTTACAGGTTAGCAGTTGCTTCTAAATGCTATAGGACAGTAGTCTTATGGAATGTTACAAGTAAATACATTTAGGAAAACTGGTAATCCAAGGCTATAAGTTGATGGTAATGGCCATTGTTGTTAAGGGCCATTCCATTTTAGAACCGCTTAAATGGAGAAATTTAAAATAATTATTTCATATCTAGCCCTATGATGGATTTTTGGAGTGAGGAGACCCTAAATTTTTAAAAAAATAATAATCTGAAAGTTGATTTTTCAGGAAATGGCAAACAGGGGCTGTTCATTTTTGTCCAGTGAAAAGTGTGTGAAAATATGTGGCATTCTGTAATTTAAATTATTTTTAGTAAGACATATTTATTCCCAAAATCTCACCAGGGGAACAAAACTATTTGAACTCAACACAAAGGTGAACGTGCTGATAAGATTTTTTGCAAAATGGATGTACTTTGTAAATGAGAGTAAGTAACAATTCACTTAATTTCTGTAACAAAAACCAATTTTATTTTGTTTTCTCTGAAAATAAAAACCAGTGTTTTTGTAAGCTTGGCTCATTTTTCAGTTTTTAGGGGCCCAAACTTAGGTGCTGTAAATTATCAAAATCCTGGAAAAAACATTAGAAAAAATTAAAGCCTTCTTTATGTTATGGACATTACATTATGGACATTAAATTAAGGACATAATGTTACGGAAATTATGTTATGGACATTATGGGTGAATGAATTCTATCATAGTTAATTTTTGAAAGAATTAAATGCTTCATGATAACCAGTTTGTTCAAATTTATCACATCCAAGTTTTCAGTGCTTTTAACTTAACACTAATAACTGTAACCATAACAACAACTGTACACTAACAGTTGCAATACCATGGTGACATGAGGAGTATAAGTTTTCAAAAAGTTTAAGTCCATTTGTGAAACAAGTGTACTGAAAGACATGTCATGTTAATAGTCAGAAACTTCTACTAAAATATCTGAAGATAACAAATTAAAAAGTCAGACATAGTTTGACACTACTCTGGTTTGCAGATTTAATGAATGTAACCGAAGAAGTTACGATTCATAGACCCAACGTTTCGACACTACTGTCTAGTGCCTTCATCAGGGGTGATCTAAACGCTGCAACAAGAGGTCCTTTTATATGATCACTAATAAGCGGCCTTTTTTCTGACGAGGTGTAAATAGGCATCAGGAAGCAAACCGCCATCGTCATGATTTCAAGGAGCGTGGGCGGAGTTAATATGCCAAGCCTCCAAACAAAGGCACTGGAGGTAACGCCGATTAGTGGTGATAATTTTAGAATTATCCCACCCAATTGTATGGTTGGTTAGGCATGTATGCTCCGATAAAGCTGAATTTTCCTTTTTGCAAAGAAAAACCGCTTTTTGGTGCTCTTTTAACCGTGTACCAAACTGACTCCAGTCACTGGTTCACTTTCATCAAGAGCGTTACTATTTGTAGCTGGTTTTTGGCAGTTACGGAGAAAAGTTTTTGTATAGCCATTTGCCTTTAGGACATTGGCAACATATTTCCTCTCCTCAGCCTTCGAATCAAGTGAAGATGGTAGACAGTCAGCCCTCCTAAGTAAAGTTTTGGCTACAGACTTTTTATGGCAAATAGGGTGGTGAGAATCGAAAGCGAGGTATTTGTCGGTGTGGGTAGGTTTACGGTATACACTTGTCTCTAAATTACCCTGAACCCCTCTGAACACATTTAAATCAAGAAAGGGCACATGTCTATCTTTTTCACGCTCAAGGGTGAATTGGATCGACGGCTCTACTGAATTCAAATGCGACAAGAGGCGCTCCGCTTCATTCCGGATACCGCAGAAATAACATCATCGACATATCGTTTCCAGAAAAAGGGTTTAACCGGTGAAGAGGCTAAGGCCCTTTGTTCCATGTCTTCCATTACCATGTTAGCAATGACAGCAGAGACTGGCGAACCCATCGCTGTACCAAAAACTTGTTGTTAGTAGGTGTCGTTATATGTAAATTGTGTGGTTTTGAGGCAAAAAGACAGCAGATGAATAATATCCTCCACAGGCAAAGAAGTTCTTTGTCCCAGGGCAGCATCTTCTCTGAGTCTTTCCTCCGCAACCTTAATGGCAAGATCAACTGGGATTTTGGCTCCTTTAAATCGTGACGATGGCGGTTTGCTTCCTGACGCCCATTTACACCTTGTCAGAAAAAAGGCTGCTAATCAGTGATCATTTAAAAGGACCTCTTGTTGCAGCGTTTAGATCACCCCTGATGAAGGCACTAGACAGGAGTGTCGAAACGTTGGGTCTATGAATCGTAACTTCTTCGGTTACATTCATTAAATATGCAAACCAGAGTAGCGTTAAACTATGTCTGATTGTCCACCTGGTTGCCGTGTGAACAATTTTAATCAATTAAAAATTTTTCAGAAATGTAGCTTAAAACAAGCAATACTTCAACTTTCAAAGGTCATTGCACTGATAATGACTGTCCTTATACAGAGAAAATTGTCAATTCATGCAGTTTAGTCCAGTGTAACATTCCAAAATGTATATGTAAATTGTGTGGTTTTGAGGCAAAAAGACAGCAGATGAATAATATCCTCCACAGGCAAAGAAGTTCTTTGTCCCAGGGCAGCATCTTCTCTGAGTCTTTCCTCCGCAACCTTAATGGCAAGATCAACTGGGATTTTGGCTCCTTTAAATCGTGACGATGGCGGTTTGCTTCCTGACGCCCATTTACACCTTGTCAGAAAAAAGGCTGCTAATCAATGATCATTTAAAAGGACCTCTTGTTGCAGCGTTTAGATCACCCCTGATGAAGGCACTAGACAGGAGTGTCGAAACGTTGGGTCTATGAATCGTAACTTCTTCGGTTACATTCATTAAATATGCAAACCAGAGTAGCGTTAAACTATGTCTGATTGTCCACCTGGTTGCCGTGTGAACAATTTTAATCAATTAAAAATTTTTCAGAAATGTAGCTTAAAACAAGCAATACTTCAACTTTCAAAGGTCATTGCACTGATAATGACTGTCCTTATACAGAGAAAATTGTCAATTCATGCAGTTTAGTCCAGTGTAACATTCCAAAATAGTGTCAAGTGTCTTATTAAGAATAGTACTCTAACAAGGAGTTCAGTACAATCCATTAGTTCAGAAATTAAGGTAATGTTTAGCTACTGCAATCTGCAGTTAGTTTGACTAGTTATTTGAAAACATTTTCTTTTTGAAAATATTTGAACATCCTCTCAATATATGAAAGACTTGGAGCATTGAAGGGTCCAGTGCCTTTTAGCTCTATGGAGCCTTAGAAGACTTCTCTTTTGGACAATATCAATATTTCAACCTCATTATCAACCCTAAGGGCTCTTCCAATGTAAAACATGGTCTCATACTAGAAATCTGATCTGCACTGTATCCAAAAGCAAGAACCAAAATACAGCAGAAACACTAGTTAGAGCTT